TCGAATCGAATCGCAAGCTTGTGAATGAGAATCGAATTGAAACGTGAAATTTGTGTCAAAACCCAGCCCTAATTCTCGTAGCTTCATAAAATTACGGTTGAACCCCTGGTGTCACATGGATTATTTTACCGATGTCCTTGCTACAACAGAATTTTCATTTTTGTGTGAACTAACCCTTTAAGGAAGGTCGCAAATATGATCCCGCCACCCCTTGTTTGCGAGCTCTTCACTGGCTCCCAGTTCACTTTAGGATACATTTTTAAAATTCTCCTATTTGTATTTAAATGTTTACACAACCTTGCCCCACGTTACTTATTGGAATTACTGCATACGTATAGCCCTACCAGAGATTTAAGATCTGGTAATCAAAACCTACTTATGGTTCCTTGCACAAGGTTGAAACGCAGAGGAGATAGAGCTTTTTTTGGTGGTGGGCCCTAGATTGTGGAACAGCCTGCCAGCCCACCTCAGAGCTGCTCCATCTTTATCAGTTTTTAAATCTCTTCTGAAAACCCACTTGTTTTCTTTAGCTTTTAAAAGTTGAGGATGTTTTTGTATGTTTTAATTTTTTTGACCATGAGATTTTGTACAGCACTTTGGTCAGTCTTGCGACTGTTTATAAATGTGCGTTATAAATAAAAGAACTAGGACTAGAAAAGAACTTCAGGTGCTTCACAAGACTGAGAGACTGGCAAAGAGAAAGTCACTATTGGGAAATAAATAAATAAAATGTCAAGCTGTTTTGCAAAGGCTCATCTACCAAGTTTATGGGCATACCTAAGCAAAAAATTATTTTAATAAATGTAATACATGATGATCATTTATTTACAAATTTATAGAAAATAATATGTTTGTGCTGATAAGAGCCAAAATAAATAAAGGTTAAAAGCTGTAAGTGAAATTATAAAATCTTCTTAACAGTACAACATATATGCAAAATCTATAGAGGACAGAAAACAACAATTGCGATCATTCCAATATTTTCCTTATAACAATTCTCATTTTAAGCCAAAAAACACAGCAAAGTTCAGGCAAGAGGATTGTAGACAAGTTTACATGATTCTTTACATATCTGCAGTGATTTTGAAAACTCTGAGGATGGGAAGAAGGGTGGCAGTAAGAGGAAGAGGACATACATGTGATCTGAGAGCAGTAGGACTTATGGGACTACACGAAAACAGTATCATTTATCACAAGTCCACTGCAGCCTAGTCATGATGTACCATCTTATGGTCGGGAGTGAAGCTTAAGTGATTAAAGAAACACTGAAGTTCTTTTTAATTTACAAACAAAGCAAAGTTCAGGCAAGAGGATTGTAGACAAGTTTACATGTTTCTTTACCTATCTGCAGTGATTTTGAAAACTGAGGATGGGAAGAAGGGTGGCAGTAAGAGGAAGAGGACATACATGTGATCTGAGAGCAGTAGGACTTATGGGACTACACGAAAACAGTATCATTTATCACAAGTCCACTGCAGCCTAGTCATGATGTACCATCTTATGGTCGGGAGTGAAGCTTAAGTGATTAAAGAAACACTGAAGTTCTTTTTAATTTACAAACAAAAGTAGCACTGATGTCAAAAGCTGAAACCGTTTTCAAATTACTGCCACCAGTGTACATACGTGTTTGTAGAACAACTCCATTTCAGTTTTACAGTTGCAAATAATTTAATTATGATATATGATTATATTTTTTTATTATGATATATGATAAATGTTTTGAATGAGATTAGTTAATAACCAGTTGAAAAACCATGGTACCTAATATTCAGAGACCACATAATTACACATTAAATGCACTTACACATGTATGGGGACCAGGTCTATGTGTCATGCCTTTTATCTTTGACAGTTATTAGGCAACTATATTTTCTGTATATTATACTTATACAGAAAAAAAATCGATTGCACATTTCTGTTAATAAACAGAAACTACTGTTTAAATAATTAATTGTTTGAGGTGTATGAAACCAAAATACAAAACTACTGGCAAATAAACACGTTTCACTTTTTAGCAACTTATAGTCACAGCTAACCTTTGTCACAACGTCGCTGTGACAACTAGCCCCGGTGTTAATATGTGACTGCAGTAACACATATAGTTTAGATCACGTAAGAACATGTCTAATAAAGTACTAACATAGAGTGACAACAATATATCTTATAAGTCACCATGTATATTTCACACAGCATCATTGCGCCTGCAGATTTTTTGCGATGTTACTTTAAAAGACCGATCTGGATTTTATAGCTGACAGACATCGCAAACACGATGAAGTATTAAGAAATCAAACTAATAATACTCACCTTTAGGTTTTTTCGCAGTGACCACTTCAATCTCGCTAGTGGGAGCCGCCATCTTTCTCCAAAAGTGCACGTGGAGTGAAACAGGCATTACTCATCGAACACAGAGCTGATGTGAGCAAATCAAGTGTCGATACGATCGATATGAGCGCTGTATTGAGACCATAGACCAGGGGTGCCCAACCTCGGTCCTGGAGGGCCGGTGTCCTGCAGAGTTTAGCTCCAACCCCAATTAAACACACCTGAACCAGCTAATCAAGCTCTTATAGGCATACTAGAAACTTACCAGCAGGTGTGTTGAGGCAAGTTGGAGCTAAACTCTGCAGGACACCGGCCCTCCAGGACCGAGTTTGGGCACCCCTGCCATAGACTGTATGATTGAGACCGATTGAGACGCAAGGAAAAAAGTTCAAATATTTTATGCCAGTGACCCATGAAGCAAATTTCTTCTTAAAATAAAAAAGCAGATATATATTTCAGTCATTCTTGAGAAGTGGGACAAAACAGGGTGCAAAATTGAAAAAATAAAACCTTGTACTCAGACAAATGAAACTACATTTATGTATCTTATATGTACTAAGCTACTGAGCTATGCTTTGATTCAACCTCCCAACTAAATTGATTTTATTGCATATGAATGATTGAACCCTTCTCTGTGGACACACTGTTTTAGATGTAGTGAGAGGACATTAAGAAACATAGATTTGGTATAATAATGAGAAAATTAAATTGAAGGTGATAATTGTGTTAAATACATTCTATTATTAATCCCTCATGACATTTAAAATTGAAAATATTTTTATTTTTAAACCTAATAGCAGTTACCCTTGCTGGACCTGTTTTGTCCCATGTCTCAAGAATGACTGATTTACATGTATCAAACACCATTTATGCTGAGTTAGAAAAAAAGTTTAAATCTTGTTTCCCGAATTAAGTAAATGGCTTAAATAATTTAAGTATTATCCAGAAAATACTTATCTTGAAAAGCTGACATTGTATCCTCCTTTCCATAATTTAGAGTCATGGTTCAGTTTTTAAACTAAAAATGTCTCTCTACAGGTTTGTATACCTACACTCTCAGAAAAAAAGGTACAAAACTGTCACTGGGGCTTTACACCATATGTACAGTTTAGTTAGTAATATGTACTTTTAAAGTACTAATACAGTATGAACCTTTAAGGCAGTAATATGTACCATTTAGGGGTAAATAAGATGCAAAGATGTAACATTTAGCCTTTGTACCTTTGGGTACCAGCCTAGTGACAGTTTTGTACTTTTTTTCTGAGAGTGTAGCATAAACCCGAAGAGAAACATTTTCAGTTCAATTACTTTTTAAAACTGAAAGCAAAAAAAATGATAAATACAGTAATCTTATAAGATTAACAAATCAAAATCAAAATCTTTTTGTAATTTTTAAAATACTGATCTGTACCATACTAATATATATATGTACCCATAACATACCTTTAAGGTACTAATATGCATCCTTTAGGAATAAATATGGTACAAAGGTCTACCATTTGAAAAGGTACCACCCTAATGACAGCTGTTGTACCTTTTTTCTGAAATTGTAGGTATAGCCTACCTGGTTAGGAATCCCTGCATTAGCCTATATCCACACATAGTCTGAAATATAGGACTTTTTAGTTACTAACAGCTTTTTTTTTTTTTTTTTTTTTAATAAAAAAATATATGTCAATCTGCAGCATCTAACAAAATCAAGCTTTCTAAACATGAACAGGGTTGGTGCTGAGGTGCTGTTGTCATTCTCACAGTCTGCAGTCTCCTCATTAATCAAATGTATAAAGAGTCTTTCATGACTCCTCATCTCCATCTGTGCTCTGTTGCCTGGTGTGTATCTGCCTGTGAATGGAGACAGAAGTGCTATAGCTTGAGTGTTAAGTGTTCCTGTGTCTCAGATGCAAGTAAAAGTTACACATAGAGGTGAAAGGGCCAAAAAACAAATAAAGAAATTAAAATAATACTTGCATTTTTCATCTTTGATACCTTTTCTATACCTAACCCAATTAATTTCAAACAATTCATTTTGATTTAGCTCCTCCTCTTAAATTGTATTAATTTACGTAGTATTTTGTTTATTTGACAAAACATTCCTTCTAGTACAAAACAATGGCCAAAAAACTTCAGATAACATAATATTGCTATTTAGCGCAATATTATTAAGTTTAGCATTCCAGTGTGTTTCGCTTTAAAACATGAGCTCTGTCATATTCTGTGATTGTCTCTGAAGAGCGCGAGCCCTCGCACGTCGCACTGTGAAGTACAGACTGAAGGGATTGTTAAAGGGGTCATATGATGCGATTTCAAGTTTTCCTTTCTCTTTGGAGTGTTACAAGCTGTTCGTGGACAGATAAGATCCCTAAAGTTGCAAAGACTAAAGTCTCAAACCCAAAGAGATATCCTTTATAAAAGTTAAGACTCGTCCATGCCCTCCTAAAACGCCTGGTTTAAACAGGCCCCCACATGTCTACGTCACTGTGTGGGAAGATTTGCATGACACCGCCCAAATGTATAGGCAAAGAAAGAAGGCATAACTTTTATTCTCGCTGTAGTATTGTTACCGCCGCCACCATGTCAAGACGCTGTGTGTTTCGTTGTGAAAGCAAAACTACTTTGTTTGGTCTTCCAAAAGAGGACA